TCCCGATAACAATGTCTTACGGCATCTTATATAATAACCAACAAGTCACGCCGGGATCGAGCGCATTGACATTATGGTCCGATCGCGGCACATCGCCGCAAAAAAAAAAAAAAAAAAAAAAAAAAAAAAAAAAAAAAGCTCATTTCATATATTTTATTATACACACGAGATTCGGGAAAGCAAGCACAATGCAACTGTAGCTCCGCGGTTTTCTCCTCGCGTCGCATTAAAACGCTCGTAGGTCGGCAAGAATCATTCATAAAAAAGAGAGAGAGGTGCCTCTCGGCCATTAATCAAAGCCGCGTTTCCACGCGAGTGGATCCTCCGAGTGAGTTCACCGCCTAGTTCGCATTTATAAGGCAAAAGACCAGATGGCCCGTGCCACCGATGTCAAGTCGAGTCAAAGTCGCTTCCCCCTTCTCTTCCAACTAGTCTCCTTTCCTTTCGTCTTTTACCGCTACTAGCTGGGCCTTTATTATTCGTCTTTGTTATCTTGTACATGTGAATACGCTGTCGGATAAATTTAAATAAAAGGGAAAGCTGTTAATTGAAATCTGAATGCTAATGAAGTATATAAGCTCTGTTCAACTTTAATAGCAAGCCGTTGATTATCAAATTTTTTATTAAATAACATAATAATTTTACGTTTTACGATATTACTGAAGGCTCTGAAGAATAATACTCAATAGCACACGGCCAATGATAATTTACGAATGTTATTTAATAAAAAAAAACAACATTTTTTAACATATAACTAAACGATCGTGTTGGGAATGATCAAATGCCAGAGAGACTGCAGGCGACGATATAATACTCACGCGCTAAGACTTCTTTTCGCCGAACCTGCACCCCGATGATCGCCTCCATAGGTACTTCGGTCCTCGGAATGCTGACTGCGTGCGGCGGTAGGTAGATAGGCTCGAGGATACCGAAGGTGCACTCCTCGGGGATCTCCTTGTAGCAGACGGCATGGGACTATGTGGATTGCAGGTGACAGTTTTTTTTTTTTTTTTTTTTTAAACATTAAACTTTCTTTCTTCGTTAGTTTGCTGTGTGTAACTAAGCTACGGGTTGCATGACATTGGAGCAGGTGAGGAAATCTGGAGAGCCTATTTGAAATAATCGTGAAGCAGTAGTTGACGGTCTATGCCAACATTAGAATTTCAGTTTTGTTCAGTTTAAAATTTCAGTAGCTAGCGATAACGCGACTTCGGACATAATCTCTTACCTACGTTTACGCTCGTTTTTCAAAACATTTTTGACAATTGCATTCGAAGAAAGGATGTAAGTCATTAAAGAGATTTCATAGAATGATTATGGCGCGTTTCACCGTGCGGATAAGAGATCTTAATTTATTATATAATTCATTAAAATTATAATCAATGACAATCAACTTCATCGACTACTTTTATATCGTTTAAATGATCGTGTTAAACTCGAGATTTTCTTCAAGCCTTTGAGACATCATATTACTATAAATATTGCATTTAGCCAAGTGCGGAAGCTCTAAATTTTTGTTTGTTTTTTGTTTTTTTGTTTTTTGTTTTTTATTTTTGTTTTTTTTTTTTTAGTTTTTTTTTTTTTTTTTTTTTTTTTTTTGTTTCTAAATTATTGTGATAAATTCGTATCGATGATGAACAGTTAAATTATTCCCATCGAATTTTCATTATGTTCATTAAATAAATGTAATGAAAATCATATGTAACATAACTATTATGAAATTAAAGTAACCTTATAATATTAAAATTTGCAACAAGAGTGACTTAAAATGCACGAATATAATCATATGATCGGTCGTTTCGATATTTTACACGCATGATATTCCTTAATGAAAAAATTAGGAAAAATTGCAAAGTGATCAATTACTCATGAAATATTCATGATTGTAAAAAAAAAAAAAAAAAAAAATTCCATTAAATATACCGATGTTTTATCATATACTTTGTTTCGGTTATAAGATTTGCCATAATGATCTAATAATGTAATAATTATAACAAAGATATCAAAGTATTTCAAATATGGACGAGTAACCAATAAATCGGGTTACACACATAAAAAGAGATGTCTCGAATAATGACCCCAGTGAGCACTTAAGTTCTCTTTAGTACATTCATTGTGCGGAATTTTATTACCGTATTTTTATACGTGATAGATCGTAACGACAGAGTGTAATTAGAATTTTTAAGTATGTGCGATGGCATATTTGACAATTGGCTTGATCGAGAAAAAAAGGAGAAATCGAAAATCTGACATTTTTTGTGACCGCATTTCACATGCACAAGATTTTCAATGAATCCCGTTTTGAACAATTTAACATGCGATTAATAAATATTTTATTCAATAAAACGCGTTGTTACAAGATAAGGCGAAGAAACAAATTGAGATGAAAAATTGTTATACTTAGTTTTAATTGATTGCACATATATAAGCCGAAGTGTCGTAAGGTATCGTTAAAATATTTTCTTCTCGTATGATAAACATTGAAGCAAATGTGAAAAAAAAAACAAATTGAATCAGCTTTCGTAGGAGCCAAATGAAATCCTATATATTACGAATATAATTTCGAATACATTGGACTTTCAATAAGTGAATTTTAATACACTAGAGTTGTAGATCTTGAGATTTTCATTTGAATTGTAAATTTCAAATTCTATAAGTTTGTAATAAAAATCAAGGATACTTCCAGAATTAACTTGTACAAAGTTAAGCTTGAATTTCTAATACAAATGAATTAACATAGCAGCACGAAAGATAAAACATAAAATATATCACACAAAAAAGGCGAATTTTAAAAATATATGTCGTATTATGCAGAATAAGGACTAATAGCCGTGAATTCAGATTAATCTTAAAAATCCTTGTGATTTTAAAAGCTTGTGATTTTTTTATTATTATTATTTTTTTTCTTATTTATTTATTTATATTTTTTTATTATTATATACACTTGTTAGAATGAATAAAATGAAAAAATAAAATAATATAAGAAATGTTATTAAAAATAGCTGTACGGTATTGCATATTCTATTATTGTATATTTTGCATAGTAACTAATACAATCGGATATTAGCGAGTGAAATTCAAGAAATTCCAAGTATTATTTTCTCCATGTTTTGCTCCTCGTTAATCATTCGAAAGTAAATACAGGAATTAAGCGAAATGACTTTTAATTTAATGAAGCTTGAAAATAGGTGGCAATATCTCTACCTCGGCTAATTTCTATTTCTATTTACATTTATATCTATTTATAACAAAAAACAAAAAACAAAAAGAACAAAAACAAAACACTCGCACCTTCGACTCCCGTTCGCCAATAAGGCAGCGATACATATAGATAACTACAATTCTCATCATAGGACATCTCGACGTTGTTGCATTATGATCTGTCGAATGGACGGAGGATGAGGAGAAAGAGCGCGGCAGGCAACCATGTCCTCTCAAGCACAAAAGCGACCCTCGCAAGCCGTATTGACCCGAGTTCGTAGCTCGCCAGATCTCCTCTCGAACGGTGGGCGGGCGGGCGGGCGGGCAATTAGTAATAATGGCCAAGCAGGTGAATCGAGTCCCGGACTTACTAACCGTTATGCCGCACCACTCGCAACGATAACCGGCGAGATACTCGGCGGAGAAGCAGGTCTTCTTGCAGAGGGCGCACTTGGAGTTGCTGGGCAGGTTACCCTCCCGCCAGTGGTGGCTGTGCTTCATCGAGGACAACTCCTTGCCTGGCAGGTACGTGGCGTTCTCCTTGCAATCCGCCACCGCGAAGTCTTGACAATCCGTGTGAACGAAGTACTCGCATACTTGCAACAGACACGAGTTGGCAAATTTTGGCGTTAGATCGTCCGTCTCGCTTACCTTACGGTACGGCACGGCTTATCTTATTAGCAGACTCGACTTATAGCAGCCGCGCTCGCGATTACGGTATCATTGGTTCGTCGCACGCAATTCGTATGAGCCTTTTTTCATCGCTTAGAACGTTTTTTTTTTTTTTTTTTTGGCTATTTGCGCATTCGAGTCAGCCGTAGTCGCGTTAATTTTTTACTTTCTACCAATGATTTCCATTAAAGTTCCATTATTGGGTTAACCGAGCTAATACAACTTTTACGTTAGTTTTCAGAATACACGAAGCATCGAATGCAATGGGCAATCCTATTTAATATCGGTAGTAGAACGATCGATAAATTTCTTAAATTTATTTTTCTTTAATTGCATTGACTCATTAATTGTGGAAAAGGTATTAAGTTGGGGCACATATAGCAAGCACCTTTAAAATTTATCTGCAAATTAATTTTAAGTACAATCCTTTTTAGCCTCATTTAGAGGTATCATATTTATAATATACTCGAAATATTTTATAACCCTTTAATGGATCAGATGGTTACAGTTAAATGTTGCGTGTATGTTTTTTTTTGTATATTTTTCTTCACAAGTAAAGTCAATTTGTCGTTACTTATTAACTTATTAGTATGATATTACTGCCGAAACTTGATCTGACCGATGTTTAACGTATGCATTAATTATCTATGATTATTATTATATGACTTTTAACAACTATATTTTTACCGTATTTGAAGAAAAAAAGTAAAAAACAAACAACGTCAATACAAGAAAACAAATATTAAATAATAAAATTTTCAATTAAGAGAGACATTATGTTTCACAATACTAATTGCAACCTACAATATTCACTATTAATTACGCACATTCTTTTATAAATGTTCAACTTGTTCCCTTCGGCAAATTCACATCAATGCGATTACAATGCTGTTTATGTGCCGTATGTAAATTATAGAATTAAATTTTTCACACACAATTAAATATTGACATTGTTCAAAAATTGAAATTGATCCTTACTTTCGCAATGTACAGACAGATTGTCATCTAGCCGTTTTCGACAAACGTTGCAGAATTTCTTCCTGTGATGTACCTGTTCAGACCAACAATGTGCAACCGGGTTCTGTAAACAGGAACGTTTTTACTGAGATTGGAATACATTTTTTCTAAACTGATGAAAATTTTATGTAATTGGCTAATGTTTTTTTTAATCCTTTTGCAGAAATAAAATTGCTTTCCTATATATTTATACGTATCCGTATTTTTTATTTAAATTTCACATTTCGAATAAATTACATATAAATATAGTTCAAATTGAAAAGGGTTCTGATGTTTGTTTTCATTTTTCTTGGAATCTACATTCATATTAATATTTTCTTTTAATGATTCCAATTGCACGTAGTCTGTAGAAAAAATTCTCTCGTGATAATAATTACAAATTATGACTGATTAAATCCTTTCATATAATATCTTACAATTAATGAATTTAATTAAAAATGTTTTATATTAAAATTTATTAATATTATTATTAATATTATTATTATTATTATTATTATTATTATTATTATTGCGTAGGTATTTTTTTTAATATCAAAATTTACTTCATTCTTGAACTTTGAGATTAATTATTATTCTATATTCTCAAGTGGAATATGCGTAGTACAATATAATTAAAAAATAAATCTATCATAATTTTAAATATTTTAAAGCATAGATTATACAAATAATGCATAATTGTTGAAAATTTTTCAAATATAAACTTTAAAGCAAAATGTACAGTTATTGCGTTTTATATGAATACTATTTATAATAAAAAAATCCCCTTTTTTTTCTTTCTAATGAATGAAACCTTAGTATTCTATGGTTTATATGCCGTATAATATAGTGAGAAGTAAAGAGTGTAAAAGAAATTTAATGACAGTTAATAAATGACTCGTCCAAAGTTACGTCCGCATTATCTAAATTATGCAATATTTTTATACTCTGTAAACAATTGAAAGCTAAAGTTTGTCTAAGCTTTAATCTGTACCGTGTAAACAACAGAACCCTGATACGCTCTGAATAGAGTAGCATAAACTTTTCTAAAAACAGCTTTAGTAATCCGAAAGTTAAAAATAATTAGTGATGGTAAAAAAAGAATATTCACTAGGATACAGTGGCGAACGACAATATTTTACCTTAATAAGATTTGCGGAGATGCTCGAGCAGGGAGAAACGACCGTTTTGAGACAGCGCTCGTGCACCACAAAGTTGCAAACTGAAAACAAACGTCATTGTTTTGATGAATAGTCGACCAGCACAGTAATCGTCACATTTATATGTACAATCGAAAACGCAATTGAATTCTGCTCGGATTTCGTGCGCGAAACTTCAAATCAGATATAACAATTTTCATTAAACGCTTGTTTAGATTTTATGTAATTCAACTGCAGTTTGACAATAATGCTTAATAATAATAATAAATATTTGAAAGAAAGTGACGCTTTGTATTAATTATTTCATATAGGATTTATATTAATTTGCAACTGTAATAATTTGAAGTTGACAGGTTCTATAAAGTATAACAACTAGTCAATAAATAATGCTTAATAAGCAATATTACCTTAAAGTACTTAAAATCAGATCAAATATCGAAATTATTTTAAAGAAAAATGAAAAAACATTTTTCGTTAAAAAAAATAAATATTAATAAATATATATATATATATATATATATATTTAGAGAGGGGGAGGAGGGGGAGAGGGAGAGAGAGAGCATTGATTATATACAAAAATTGTTGTATTATAATTTGGATAAATAGCAAACGGTACAATTAATTAATATTCATTGATCGTTTTCCATAGGAATTTATAATTAAACAAATAATTTAAATAAACAAATAATTCAATAAATGCTCAATCTACAATAAAAGCAAAAAATTTTATTATCTATTTATATATTAAAATTACGGACGTTAAAAATGATAATTTTAAAACAACAATTAACATTTCAAAGTTTTTAAAGAATTTCAAATATTAGACAAACAATTTTTCATTCTACGTAATTGATTTGAAATTATATTCAACGGCAATGTTCGTTTATTTTATATTAAAATAATTTTTTAATTCTGGAATGTTATTTGTTAATTTAAAAAAATATGTTACTCTTAATATGTTCATTAGAAACTTTATTTTATATTAATTAGTTAAATTAAATTTTATACTTAAAAAGTTTTTAACGTTTATATACAAAGCAAACACTAGAATATACGATAAAATATAAAATTTTTAAATATTTTAGTTTATTATTAATATATTTTTGAAGTATTTAAAACTAGGGAGTATTTTTTAATAAAAATATTGAATGTTGATTTTTACAAAAAAAAAGAAAAGAAATAAAGAAGCATTTATATCGATAAAATTTCATTATACTATTAAAAATAACATAATAAAATTGTTTTTTGAAATGGAAATAGTAATTAAATATATATTACAACTATAACAAATAAATCATAAAAAATATCTATTTAGAATAAAATACTTTAAACAGAAATTACTTTTTTTTTTTTTAATATAACTTTAGTGAACTATAAGATTTCTCTAGATTAGTTACTTACAGAAAATATTAAAATGTATTACTCTACATCTAATTAAGATGAATATAAATATTTGTATGAATTTTATTTTGTTGATTTATTAAGAAAGAAATATTTTTACACTGTTTCCTCTAATCTCGTGTATAAGTACATAAGTTTTGTTTTGGGAAATACATGACGACTTCACCAATTAATTTGAACGTGAAACATCTTAATTATAATTATTAAATATGCATTTAGATTAATACGGCACCACAATTCATAAAGTACATAAATACTATTGATAAGTTAAATTTTAAAAGCATTTGTACAAATATAAACAAATATTCATACACAAATGGATTATTACACGTACGTGTGTATAACATAACGTGTCTATGAAATACATTTTGGAGGGTTTTTAGTATTTTTAGACTGTAATCTAACAACCGATAATTATCTCCATAATATTACTGAATATTTAAAAGCCGATGGAATTGATTGAAAAGCTTCATTTTATTTTTTTTTTTATACCTTACGAGTTAATTAACATAGAGGCGTTTAATTTAGTAATATATACATTTTATTTACCATTTGAGAATTAATTTATTGTAAATAATTTATGTTTGTATATTGTAATTGAAAATTCAATGTAATTATCGATAATTGAATTTGCATACGAGCATTTCAATTATTTAAAGAAACTTTCATGATCATGAGTCACAATTATTGAAAGTATAATGAGTGCAATTGCTATTGAAAGCTGAATTATTTGCTATTTGAAACTAAAATTGATTGATTAGTTGTGTGCTTTGAAACAGCATTGGTGTTGTTGTTGTTGTTTTTTTTTTTTAATCTAATATGCGAGGAGCTACAAAAAAAAAAGTGTGGATAATTTAAAAATTGAACTAAATTAGCAAATGGAGAAGGACTATGGAATAAATGTTAGGATAAATAGCCTTGAACGCTTAAATATAAGGACGATTTAAATGGCTATTAAAGATCACAGTACTAAACGATTCGTTCCATCATTTTGTTATTAGTTAAATGCTCAAACTTTCCATTTATCTTCAATGTTTCCCAAAGTTTTAAATGCAAGAGATTTGTCAGCGTCGTGACCCTTCCATATTCTACTCATCCCCGCTATTCTAACGCTGAGCTTCTAACGCAACAATATCTTCATCTCAGTGCCCTCCTTAAATCCCGTTACATTTTCCAATTCACTGAATATTTGGCTTGAATGTAAAATGTGGACGATCATTATATAAAAAAAGCACTTTTATCTCACCGACATCGCGAACTCGGCGCACACAATTCACGAGACACTCGAGACATTTGCCAAATTAAAGTCGAGGCATTAAAGCCGGGCGAAGCGTTGGGAGAAGCGTTGGGAGAAGCGCCGGGAGAAGCGCCGGGAGAAGCGCCGGGAGAAGCGTCGGTAAAAGCGTCGGGAGAAGCGTCGGGAGAAGCACCCGGGGCCATTTCCACCTTGGCGAAAAACCGCGTCCGGGGGAGACGTCGGTCGCCTCGTTGGATTGATCGTAGTGGCGTCGGTGCCGCTAGGCTGTGCGCACCGCAACGTCTTTCCGGCGTCGCGGCGTATAACGGAAACGTCACGAGGTTGAAAGGGGCCTTTCACTAACTCCCCCCCCCCCACACCACCACCACCACAACCACATCTCGATCCCGCGGAATTTATCGACAATGCGTATGTAGGCCGGGCATTGTGCGCGAGACACTGCGAACAGAGCCGCCGATCATCCTCCCCCGACCCTTGTTTAACGCTATTAAACGCTATAATCCTTCGGCCTTTATCTAGCTCCTATACATATATATCTGTATTTATAATCCTGTGCCACGGCTCCTTTTTTCTCTCCTTCGTCCATGGCATTCGCTTTTCCCGCAGAGCTTTCGCCACTTTAATTGTCGCTTTTAAGGACGTGCACTTGTGCGCGTAAGATATGCGGAAATGATTCGAGCCGACCATAAATTACCTCGACGTCGCGATTTACCGACTACTTTTGGCGAATTTATATTTTAAACACGAACTCAGCGACTTTCGATTAATCTCTCGTGGTATTTTAACGAGCGGTCGGATAAATATACAGAGGATGAATTTGCTAATTGATCCGTGGGAAGTCAATTTTTGCGCACGACATCAAGGCTCGCGCTTTCGTTTGTTCGTCTTGTAACAAAAATCCTTGATTCTTTCATTGCAAGGGGGAAAAAATTTGGATCGATCACCTATAAACGACGATTCATGTATTTCATACGTTGTATATTATTTTTTTGTAATATCATATCGAGAAGTGTCTAGAAGATAGTGATGAAATGTGCAAAAGCCGAAAATTTTTGAATTAACATAATGCTAGTCTTGTTAAATACAGAATAATAAATAATTAACATGCAGTGTAACAAATTTCATGATCGATTGAAAAGTGCAGCAATTTTTCAACGTCAAGCGATGAAATACTTCAGCGTTAAAACTATTTCAATTCGAACACAAACTTCAACATTTTTAATACACTTACAATTTCAAGAAAAATATTCACATACGCAATTGATTACTTTCATATTTTAGCACATTATAATGTAAATTGCGCTTTACTTAATTACCAGACAATTTTATAAATATCAATAACAACATTTCCATACAAACATATTATGTAAACGTTTTATCTTTCTTATTCCAATATAATTAATTTTTCTTGTATTATATACTTTGTTTATTATAATAAAGCATGAATAAACAAATATTTACAAGTGTAAAAATACAATGTATTTTAATTTTTGTATAAATACAAGTCATATTTATTATTATATATTGAATTTCATGAAGTCTTCAACTCGTCACTTTTTTCTAAAAAGCACAAATTTATTCTGATACTTAGCGAGCTGATTAGACACTATATATGATGATGATGATGATGATGATGATGATGATGTGTGTGTGTGTGTGTGTGTGTGTGTACGTACGTACGTATGCATGTATGTATGGATTTAAGTAATAAGAAAAAAAGAAGAAAAACCACTTCACCCAGTAAAATATTATGTTAGACAAAATTTTAATAAATTATAGAGAGTATTATTATCTATGTATTTTATCATACATGTGAATTAAAATTCAATTAAGAATTTTAATTGTTTATCGTATAATTATATTATTTTTGTCGATATTTTTAATTTCATTGGATAAAAACATGGTTTTATCAATATAGCGTAGATATACTAAAATATATCCAACACATAAAGTAACAAAATAATAATGACGTTAATGAAATATACCTACGTGCGCAAAAAACTCATTATTCTTTTTTTCATTTCGTAAAGCAAACTAAATTACTTAGTACGTTAAATTAAATATAAAAGAAATTTTACATTGCAACAATTGTATAGTGAAATGACCCAGAAGTTTTACATAATAAAATACATTAAAATAAAAATATTATCAAACGATCAAAATTTATTTAATTTATTCGATTATATGTTTAATTAAGTGCTTAGAAGGTGGACGAAAACATACGACCAGCATTTATTATAATAATATGTTTTATCTGTTAAAAGTTCTTTTAACACAAAGATAATGAAGTTACTTTTTTTCTAATTTACTATATAAATTATATCTATGATTATTCATTATTTTAATATAGTACGTGACGCATAAAAATAAATTAATTTAATATATATACACATATATTTATAT